TTGAAGCAATACTTTATTTGATGCATAATTATTCTACTGATGCATATTTGGGAATTGACAAAACCTTTGAGAAAATTTGTAATCAATATTACTGGCCTCAGATGTTCAAAAATATCAAAGATTACATCCAATCATATGACCAGTGCCATAAACATGAAAGATACAGAACACTAGGACCCTTGCATCCCATCTCTGTTGGGGAATCCTTTTCCAGAATTGGAATAGACATTGTAAGACCTTACCGATCACTAAACAAGGAAACAAGTATATTGTCGTTGCAAAAGATTACTTCACCAAATGGCCCGAAGCAGAGCAATCTCTGAAGCTACTGGAAAATATGTAGCAAAATTTATCTATCAAGTTCTTATATGTAGACATGGATGTTCAAAACAAATCTTGTCTGATAGAAGAACTCATTTTCAAAAAAAAATAATAGATGGATTACTTAAAAAATTTAGATAAAACATTTATTATTCATGCCATATTATCCTTAAATCAATGGATTGGTTGAACGATTTAACAGAACTTTGTGTGAGTCACTTGCAAAGTTAACTGAAGAAAAAGATCGAAACCAATACATTTCACCAGTACTTTTTGCTTACAGAACATCAAAACAATCTTCTATGAAAATGACATTATTTTATTTACTTTATAGATGAAAATCTTAAATGCCCACAATGAACATGGATGAAATATTGCAACCAACAATTCTTGACAATTGTATATTTTATTAAAAAAACTTTCATAACAATAGAAACAAACAAGAAGAAATATTTACAAGGAACAATAGAAACAAAAACAAAGGTTTAATTAAAAAGTAACAAAGTACAAAAAGTTCAAAATTGGAGATAAGATATTAATGTATGATGCTGCCAGAGACAAACATTTCACAGGAAAACTAAAACCGAAATGGAAAGGACTCTTTTATATTTATAATGTCTTGCCCAATAATGTCTTCAAGCTTAGAATGATAGAAGAAAAAGTTTTTGCCACCCTTATCAATCTCTTTCTTTTTGAAACCACATTTTGACTGATCAACATGGGAACCTAGCATACATATACAGGAAGAAGTATTCTTTAGCTACTGAAGAGTTCAGTACCCAGGTTATACAACATGAACACAGATGCTTAAGTAACCCAGTCCTCCACTTGTATCAAACCCAATACAAGTATTATTGAACCCTTGAATGAAAAAGAAGACCTGAAGAAACTAGAGAAACAAGCAAAAGATGCAGTATAATGGAAGTGGCCCACAAAGCACTTCCTGTCTATTACAGCCAGCCCATAAAGCATACTTAGCAACTACTGCATCTCCCACAATGAATCTATGAACTTTGAAAAAGAAGATGCAAGAAAAATGAAATAAGAAACAAACCTCTAGTTAAACGAGAAGGAAAAAAAAGACTTGTCAAAGGAAGCAGGTATAGGATTTTATAGCAGATGAAAAAGACCCTCCAGACAAGATACTTGGTTCCTTAAGTTCAAGTTCTCCAACTCTAACTGCCTATTGAGGTTGTGAAGGAAGCGTGTATCCCAAAGTGTCTCCAATTTTTTTCTTAATCTTTTCTAAGGACCCTAATGATTCTCTTTGATTCTGTATTCAATTCTCAAGTTTATATTAAATTTAATAGGTGGAGTATACTCCATTATCATTTTTAATAGTGTTCTGAACCTCATGCAATTCTATTTGATTCTATTTGATTCCAATTTTCAGAACCATAATCTTTCCACCTCCGGTTCCAAAGCCCCGAACCTATTTTCTTAACGAACTTGGCGCTTCAAGACCTTGACCCTTTCTTAAAGCAAAACAATTGTTTTCCAGGATGGATCCCTGAGACCAGAGCAAGTTAGATAAGTATTTCTTGACAAATGATTTTTTCTTAGCATTTTCTAAAGAATTTTGAGTTAATAATTATTTGCTTAATGATTTTCAAGAAGACCCTAAGCATACAACATGGTGGAACCTCAAAAATACTTACAAAAATCTATAAAAATAACATCTGCCCCAAACAATATGCTTTTTTTTCAAATTTGAATATTCACAATGTACAATTAATAATCCCATGGCTGCTTATACTATTTTGGTTGAAGATTTTTTGCAAAACACTCCTGAAGATATTGATGTTGCACCAGCTCCTATGATCTTCTGCAAACTACTAAAATGTAACTTTTGAATACCTATCAGAAGTTACAAAGAGCATCCCAAAGAAAAAACAGGATCATGACTCTTATGTATTCTTACTATCTTGGGAATTATTGAAAACAACTCCCAGCCAAACACAAAGATCCTACCTAAATTTACAGATTACCAAATATTATTCTTTAGCTTCTATACGCATATATTACCTTTTTAGTAAAGTTGGAATTTATCAAATTTATAGAACCCGATTCACTATTCTTTGCCTAATTAAACAATTGTTTCACTCTGATTTTATTAATTTATGGTCACCTGAGAAAGGATTCGGTCCATGCCATTGCAGCCGCTGTCGGTTGTGGTAAGTCTGCTGCATGGAACGTTATAAGACAAGATCAAATTAGTAGAACTCATAAATTAGTGGGGGAGAATTGCTACACTTGATTTTTGCCCAGGATCTTCACTACTTCTTGTCTGATTTTTACTAGCATTGACTCTTGAAATGTTAGTTATTCTAGAATAGTCTTGTATTACAGATCTGTTACAACACCTTCAGCATCTATTGTAGCTATTGCATCTTTATCATTTCTAGAATATTTCTATTTTATTTTATCTTTACTTTCTATATTATCTTTACCAAAGTATTTATTTATGTAAATGCTACTATAGTTGAATATTCTAATGAAGATAGTATCTATGTCTTAGCTTATATTTTTATCATAGCATATATTTATCCTGTATGAAAATATTATAACTCAAACATGTATATAAAGGCTCCAATTTTACCTAAGAATTGGCAGGCTGGAACATATATTTTATTGAATAAATAACTTGATCTTTACAAAACAAATCACTATTGTTTTTTTTGCCTGACCTTATACATCTCAAAATTGTACTAATTTGTATGTCTCTAAGAACTTTAGCACACCACTAGGCCCTGTCCATCTAAAGTATCTCTCTGCTACTAGTTCTCCATTTTTATCTTTCTCTTGAAATAGAAACAATATATGACAATACATACATTCTCTTTGATATTATTATTACTAGCATATATTTTTTTATTCTATTAATTATTGTGATTATTATTATATTGAAATGCTCATGAAATATAGGTAAAAAGAGTAATCAGTTATAGGATATGTAAGTCAGATATTAAAAACTATCTATTTAAACTTTGATATTATTTATGTACAAAAAAATATTCTTATTAATGTATAGTGGAGCTAGTGTCTAAAGACACATAAGTATCTTAGTAGATTGTAGCAATCTTAGCTAAGAATACTTAACAATATAATAGCACAACTAATCAATTCAAGGCTTTAACATATTTTGTAAGCCATTTTTTGGCTTGTCTCTGAGAATATGTGTCAATATGCTTTTCTTTCTTATCTGAATTTTTGAGTTGCATAATTTTGTGTGAAGATAATGGTTGATATTTTTCATCTTCATTAATAAACCACACACATATTGTCATTGTTACTTCTAAGTAATAATTAATATCTATTTCTATATTTTGTTCTTTTGTGATATCTGCATACTCCATAAAATTACTGATTCTATATGGCTCCTTTCTATTCTTTTTATTATAGAAAGGTGGATCTTTTACAATAACATGGCTAAACTGTTTGCCAGAATTAGGAATTCTCTCATTTCTCTCTTTCATATGATCCATAAAGTGATTGTTACAAAGATTTTGTTTTTTAGGCTTTCATGTTCCCATTACGATAAATTTATTGAAATCTTATTCCTTGTTCTGAGAGTATCTTCAACAATTTTATAAATTAAGCATATATTATTTATATTTAAAGCCTTTCTCATAATACTCTCTCCAATAAATTTAAGAAGCTGGAATTTATCTTGCTTTATAGTATTTATTCTTTTTATGAAAAGATTTTTCAATTTAAAGTTTATTACATCTTTATGCCCAATCTCAAAGTATTTCTTTTTGTCAATAAAGCAGACAGAAAATAATATCTCTTCATATGCCACCTTTAGATAAAAGATCTTACTTTTTATCTTAATATAGGCATTTATTTAATCATGCAACTTTTTCATCACATCCATAGTAATTTTGACTATTTTGGCCCAGTATGCTTCTTTGGAAAGTTCTTTTCTGGAAAAGGTCTCATCATATTTCTCATAATAGATACAAAGAATCAGTATTACCATATTTTATCCCAAACTCTTTCTTTGTTACGAATTCTGCAATAAGATTAAGATTGTATTTCCCTGTTGAAGTAGTTCCTCCAGCTAATGCACAAAGAAAAATTGAAGATTTTAAGTTTTCTGTTTTCCTATAAAAAGTGTTCATATATACCTTCGAAGATCTTTGTTTTAAATTAAAATAATCATAATCGAAGCATACAGATAAATATTCTGAATTTAAGCTTTTTGAAACTCTTTTACTTCTCTCTTTAGCCAAACTTATCATTTTACTGAGGTGCTTCATTTTCTTCCCTAATGAGACAAGCTGAGCTTTAATCTCTACTCTCTTGTTGAATAAATTCTCTAATATAATAGGATATAAACCCTTCTTTTCCAGCTTATTATCATGTTTTACACTTCAAGTTTGGATAGTGCAATTATTAAATAGAAACTCAATCTTATGCAAGTTGTTTCCATTATTTTGCGCAATATCAGCCTCTTCATGTATTAATATTATTTTATCTAGAAAAAAATTATAAATCATGATGAGACTAGAATATAATGAAGCAAAATCCAAAATCCCATTACAGGTCTTCTTGTTTCAATTACCTTTTTAGGTAAAAATACATATGCACTAGGATACTTATCCCTTTCTATGTTTTCAGATATCCTTGTATTAATTATCATATCACATTTAAAAGCATAAGCACCCAGAAGATTTTGTACCTTCATTCCATTCGCACAGTAGTGTGAGTTGAACAAAGATATATAAGCTATAGAAGTGACTTTTCTGTAATCATTTATTTGACTTAGCTTTATCAAAAGCTCTTGACAGCGCTGTGTATTTATAATACAGTAATGTACTACTTCACACATATTTCTTGTGGTTGATGAGAAGAAACTTTTTTTTGTCTCTGAATATATTTTCCATATTTTATTGTATGGCATGTTGGCCTTAGTGTCAAGACTGCATTTTTGTAAAAAGAATTTAAGTAAGCCTTTCTTTTCAACTTCAGAATGAGGAAAATATCTTTTAAGACATATCCGGACATCAATCGATATGCAACCTGGCATTTTAAGAAAGCTAGAAGTAAATACCTTTTCTGCACTAGTTTTGATCTTAATTGGTCTGCTTATATATTCTTTCTCCTCCAGATCCTCCTCATCTTCCTCGGGAGGCTTAATAGTATTCTTTATCTTAAAAATATTTTCAAACTTCGCTTCTATCTTTCCATGATATTTCTATTTTATAATTTCTATATTAGTTTTGAACTTACCTATCATTTGTTTCCACATCCATTCAAGTATGTTGAGATGATAGGCTCTCTCCATAATAAAACACTAATCATAGTCAGAATTGTTAAACCCAACTTGAATATCAGGGGCAAATGCTCATTAGCAGAGAGCAAAAGCTTTTAGCAGATTTTCTTGATTTCCATATATAATTGTGATCCATTGTGGATCTGGTTTTGTCTTAATATCGATAAGACATACTGTATTTGCTTAGAAGTTTTGGATTATCTTTCCAATACAATGTCATGCAAATCATAAAGACATTATTATTCATATCGAGGACTTCAGCAAATTTACCAAATTCTTGTGATTGAGTCTCTACTTTACTGAAACCTATCAAATTCTGACAACCTGGTCACGTGATTATCGCGATTTTGTGACTGAATCGTGAAGATTCAATCGCGATTTAATGGTTTTTACTATGTCGCAACCAAATCTCAGCCATTTAGTAGCAATTAAATCATCGTTTCAATAACAACATCGTCACTAACTCTTTTTAAAAAAATAGTGAACAAATTGTGACTATATTGTGACAACTTTTAATTACAAAATAGTGATGATATTATCAATATAATTATTAATAAAATGTCATCGTGGAAATACGATTTCGAGATAACTTTAATTAAATTATGATAGAATCATTGCAAAATAGTAACAATTCATTAATCAAGTTATAAAAAAATAGTAATGATGTAGTGACCATTTATTTATTATGAAGTCATGACCATACAAAAATTAAATATAAAAGCAGATAGTTTTTCCCAAAAATTTTTCAAAAATGAATCCAAAAAGAAAATCA